CTTTTATTACTGCTTGCATCTCTAGCAGATTTATGTGTAATTTGCTCTCTTGATTGCTCCATAGCCCTGATGCCGTCCTGTTGGCGAGATGGGCTCCCCAACCTTGTAGTGACACATCTACGTAGAGAAGTGTTATCGATTCCAGCGTTATTAACGAGACGCCTACACAAACATTTGATCTCTTGGTCCACCATAGTAGATGAGGTTTGACCTGATCCGGTAAATTGAACGGTAGAGATTCGTCGAGATGCGAATTGATGATGACTTGTAACGGATGTAATTGTAGTCTGCCTCTGCCTGTCATGTCTTGAGCTGCAACAGGCTCTGCCACTGTCGTAGTGGTAGCGGAGAGAGTAAGGCTTGTGGGATTGACTGTTGGATCTTGATCCATGGTCCTCCGGTACAATTATACGATTCTGCGCCGTTACAAATCAAATACCTAGAAATTGTAGATCTTGCGTAGGTTCTAGGTCTAACTTAAGTAGGTTTACTAACCATCCTAGTTGTGTTAGTAGCTTGATGATGAAATTCAACTGTAGTCTGAGACGCTGTGGATTTGGATCCACTTGTATCCCGTCGTCAAGGTAAACCCGCTGCAAAGTGCTTGACGATGTAGGTGCACAACTAGGGTTGACTGCCATCGTTGAACTTTATGTAAAAAATCGTCTGACTGCCGAGCCCTCGTCCTTACTAGACAGGGGAGGTCTCTAACCTCATGAAGGCAGCCCAATCATGAAGGTTCAGATTAGCTGGACTCTAAGGAGGCTACGCTCGTTCACTGATATATAGTTGTCACTTGCAACCTATGTCTTGAACTGTGAACTATGATCGACCTCTGCATAGGGCGTTGTCCATCGCGGTCCAATCAGAACAAGGCATTTTGATTCTGTAGAGTACCCGCGCTGTGATGACACCGGTGTAGCAGGAAAAGGAACCTTGTATAATTTAGGGCCGTCGTTGATATTAGATCAATCGTTGGTCTTGTCCGTAGCTTCCCGAAGTTACATGAGTGACCACGTGTTTCGAGGGTTAATGGTAAACGCGCGAATCTTTCGGCGCGAATTACCTCGCTCTGTAATATTAATGCTGGGTAGGATATTTTCCTGGCTGTTGTGAAAGTAACTTCAGTCTTGAAGATAATGCCGACTTCCTTATATAAAGGCTCAATAAACTTGCAAGTTGTCAGCTTGTAGACTGCATACATCAATGTAGCGTCATAATTGTAGAATTAAAGCTGAACTTGTTGTACATATTTCTTCTCAGGAAATCGTTGACAATTATGTGTTTTACTCGCTGTAACAAGGCTGTTGCTCAATTCCGTTATTGAATCGTCTGCAGATGTAGATAATCGTATTGTAGTCCGGGATTGCATACCTAGCAATATATACGGAAATGTTGATTAATGTGAAGATCTACGAAACGTCGTTGATGCCCTTGATGTAGGTAGTCGGCCTGAAGATCCTTAATTAGGCTCTTCATCTGTTGATAAAATAATACAGCGATGTTCTGCGTTGTAAATAGCCTGTGCAAATGCCTTCGCGTAGGCTTGTAGACGGCATGTGGTATACAGTTGATAGACAAGTACTGCGATGTCTTGAACAGACAGACGAGTGGCTTACATAGGCAGACCTTCGTGGAGCTTTCTTGGCGAACGCTGGTGGCTTCGTATAGCTCTCGGTGAATCCCTTATAGATCTTCTGAATGACGATGACTTGGAGCCACTTAACCTTCGTGAAGGCCTTCGTGAAGGTAGCGAGTCTGAGTCCGAATCATTAGATAGGAGCTTGCTTCGCGAACGACCTCTGTGTTCCTCAAGGTCTGAGCTCGGTGAAGCACTCCTCCTCCGTGAAGCCTTTCGCGAATGGTGAGGATCAAGGTCCTTCGTGGAGGCGGGCTAGCACTTAACCTTCATGAAGGTAGCGAGTCTGAGTCCGAATCATTAGATAGGAGCTTGCTTCGCGAACGACCTCTGTGTTCTACAGGGTCTGAGCTCGGTGAAGCACTCCTCCTCCGTGAAGCCTTTTGCGAATGGTGAGGATCTAGGTCCTTCGTGGAGGTGGACTGGGACGTCCTTCGCAAAGGCTTCGATACGGGCTGGGTTGCCCTTCGTGGAGGCGCGTTTGTGGGCTCTGGGGCCCTACGCAAAGTCATAGCAGGGTCTGGGGCACTATATGACTTATTATGGGTTGGGCTCTGGGGCCCACGGCTCTGAGGCCTCTGTAAACCGTATCGGTCTCCAGGTCGTCTGGGACGGTTTGCGCTGTCTCTCTGTGGTAGCGACGGGACCCTCAGTTGATCTCAGCCATCAGCGTAGGCATCTCTAGTTGCGTGTTGATCTGCGCTGAAGTGACGGTAGCCGATACTGGTCGCTTCTTATGCCGTACATCTGGAATGATAATCAGAATGTCATCATCATATAAACACAATTCTGATGAAAAGGTTTTTATTAGCCTTCGTGGGTTTCCCTTTCGACGAAGCTGTAGCCCTGGGGGTGCGGAGCGTGGAAAGTCCTGGGATGCAGGTCGCTTCTTGGATATAGCAGACTGCGTCCCACGCTTCCCCCCCGAAGGTAACTCAGGCGGAACACCAGACGGTGAGGGTCGTCCGCCCACAGTTGACAGGGTATATCTGACTCTGATCTATCAGCCATGACTGAAGATTGTTTCCGAGATCTATCTGCTGCACGTCTCAAGACGTAATATAAAAAATTATCAAAGGCAGAATTAGACAATTTAATACATAAATTGCAGCGTGAAACAATAGAGCATGGCGTTGTACAACTAAAGCATATTAAATGCAGATCAGCAGCAGAGAAACGTAATTTACAACAGTGCAGATTTTTTAACGCAATCTGCTGAGCAAACACGGCGAACCGTGAATAAAGCAGCGGAAACACGAATAAATATCCATGCATGTTGAATAAAGATACTAGTTACACCTCTATAGATGAATATAAGAGGTAACAAACTAAATATAAATAAAGGATATAGTGTGTAGGGAGACACAGGCGCTCTCACGTCCTGCTCACTGGGCGAAGAAGGAGAGAATGAGGCACATGGCAGGAGGTGGCGCCCTCGTTCACGCGCTTGAGGGGAAAGATAACTCGGGAGTACTAATTAGTGATTTTACATTGAAGGGAACTTCAATTGGGAGATACAAGTGTTTCCACTGTGTTCGCAAGAAGAAGAAGACAAGCAAATAAGCATGAGTCAGGATAAGGAAAAATCTCACCTTTTAAATTCGTTTATTAATTCCAGCCACGTTAACAGCACCTATGTAGCGCTAGATTCGATCAGCGGCCATATTCCACAGGACTAAAAACTGATTGCAACATCTACATATCATTTCCGCGAAATTAAGCAGGCATTTTCTACAAAATCATCTGCAATCCTACTCACTTGTTGGCCATAGAAGACCTTCACATTCAAGTGACCTGAGCATATCTGCACAAACTGACTTGGGCCCTCCGATTGGTGGAAAATAAATATCCTGTAAGATTTTGTCTGTTTGCTAATAGGGCGCGAAATATGAACTTTGCAATATTCCTTCTATTTTGGATGATGTACGAAAGAGTAAATTGGTAAGAATAATTTTAGCGGTTATAAATATGCATTTAATATTGATTCATTTTTAGGAAATTATATTTATAAATATTTAACCTCTAAAAATATTTTTACCAATTTACTGCTCATGTCATTTGAATGTCAAGGTCATCTATGGCCGACAAGTGAGTATGATTGCCTATGATTTTTTTAGAAATGCCTGCTTACTGTTGAGGAAATGATATGTAGATGTTGCAATCAGTTTTCAGACTCATGGAATATGGCCGCTGATCGAATCTGGCGCTACTTGGGTGCTGTCAACGCTGCTGGAATTAATAAATGAATTTAAAAGTTGAGTTTTCGCTGTCTTGGCTGATCCATGATTTGGGCTTGGAATTGTGGAGGTTCCTGTTTTCGATGAGTTATGGCGTATAACTTTTGAAATAATGATTCAATTGTGACAATTTATAGCTCATTTTGTAGGGAAATCATCTAGCTTTCGATCCGTAGGCCTCAGCGGGGCCTTTAAAATAGTTTACAGGGTGAAATCTAACTTTGATTGAGGAGAGGGTGGTTTCATCGTTACATCCCTTTCCTTTTATATAGTACTAGGGTAGGGTCTATACACCTATATGTTTTTCTAACGATGTTTCTAAGCGAGACACGCCCATATGACTATTTCTGCATCAAGAAAGGTGAGAGACTGAGTGGATGCACACCTGTTGAATGTTTCAGGTGTGACAGTGACTGTCATCAGTCTGGATCAGACACACCAGTAGTTGAGATCCACAGAATCAAACCTTTACCACAGTTTACCTTCTCAAGTTGACTCTTATGACAATTGTGAGGGACTAATTACGTATATTTTGACAGGGGTGATGAAAGTGATGGAATACAAGGAGGCCATGTGAGGAGTGATAAATATGGCACAGGTAGGGGAGAACATATTGGAGGGATGAAAGTGTCAGACAAAAGGGAGAACATATTGGAGGGATGAAAGTGTCAGACAAAAGGGAGAACATATTGGAGGGATGAAAGTGTCCGACAAAAGGGAGAACATATTGGAGGGATGAAAGTGTCAGACAAAAGGGAGAACATATTGGAGGGATGAAAGTGTCAGACAAAAGGGAGAACATATTGGAGGGATGAAAGTGTCAGACAAAAGGGAGAACATATTGGAGGGATGAAAGTGTCAGACAAAAGGGAGAACATATTGGAGGGATGAAAGTGTCAGACAAAAGGGAGAACATATTGGAGGGATGAAAGTGTCAGACAAAAGGGAGAACATATTGGAGGGATGAAAGTGTCCGACGAAAGGGAGAACATATTGGAGGGATGAAAGTGGTACGCGAAATGGAGAAGATGTGAAGAGGGATGAAAGTGGCAGACGACAAGATGTTTGGAGCAATGAAAGAAGCATAAGACAGGGACAATATGTCACGCAAGATGAAAGCATACCTGCTGTTCTCTTGACAAACTGGTTAATCCATCGTAGAGACGTTTCCTGACCCTCAGAAATGCCTCCAGAGCATAGGACAGAGTCAGGAACAGTGTGCTGATGTAGCAACTCTGCAGACAGATATTACAAACACATGCAGTGCCATGGAGGAAGAGCAGATTGACGTAACTAATAGCATTTGCACCATATCTAGTCATGAGTGAGTTAGTGAGTGAGTATGGTTTAACGCCGCTTTTAGCAATATTCCAGCAATATCATGGATGGAGACACCGGAAATGGGCTTCACACATTGAACCCATGTGGGGAATCGAACCCGGGCCTTTGCCGTGATGAGCCAACACTTTAACCACTAGGCTACCCCACAGCCCACCTAGTCATGCTATCATATCCTATTACTGAAATGACATTAAATTGGGTCATTTGTTCAGGAATCAAAATTCATAATTATAAATGCATTCAAAGTGCTCTTAACACTACAGAACCTGCAATATAACATGTTGGAAGGTTGATGCTAACGAATCTGGGCCTTGTAGCTCAGGACAAAACACACCAGGCCTTGAAGCTCAGGACAAAACACATCAGGCCTTGAAGCTCAGGACAAAACACACCAGGCCTGTATCTCAGGACAAAACACATCAGGCCTGTATCTCAGGACAAAACACAATAGGCCTGTATCTCAGGACAAAACACAACAGGCCTTGAAGCTCAGGACAAAACACAATAGGCCTGTAGCTCAGGACAAAACACAATAGGCCTGTATCTCAGGACAAAACAAACCAGGCCTGTATCTCAGGACAAAACACACCAGGCCTTGAAGCTCAGGACAAAACACAATACGCCTTGTAGCTCAGGACAAAACACACCAGGCCTTGTATCACAGGACAAAACGCACCAGGACTTGTACCTCAGGACAAACCATATCAGGCCTTGTAGCTCAGGACACAACACAATAGGCCTTGTAGCTCGGGACAAAACAAACGAGGCCTTGTAGCTCAGGACAAAACACACCAGGTCTTGTAGCTCAGGACAAAACACACCAGGCCTTGGACAAAACAAAGCCAGGCTCAGGACAAGCTCAGGACTCAGGACAAAACAAACCAGGCCTTGTAGCTCAGGACAAAACACACAAGGTCTTGTAGCTCAGGACAAAACACACCAGGCCTTGAAGCTCAGGACAAAACACACCAGGCCTTGTAGCTCAGGACAAAACACACCAGGCCTTGTAGCTCAGGACAAAACACACCAGGCCTTGTAGCTCAGGACAAAACACAAGGCCTTGTAGCCAGGACCTTGCCTTGCTAGCTCAGGACAAAACACACCAGGCCTTGTAGCTCAGGACAAAACACACCAGGCCTTGTAGCTCAGGACAAAACACACCAGGCCTTGTAGCTCAGGACAAACACACACCAGGCCTTGTAGCTCAGGACAAAACACACCAGGCCTTGTAGCTCAGGACAAACCACACAGGCCAGGCCTTGTAGGCTCAGGACAAAACACACCAGGCCTTGTAGCTCAGGGCAAAACACACCAGGCCTTCTGGCTCAGGACAAAAACACACCAGGCATTTCATTTGAAGTAATTTCCCAAATGAATGTATAGTTTATGTGAAATAAAAACAAGTTAAAAGTAGTTTTAGTCAATATAACAACTGACAATAAACTTGAAACCCAGATGAGGTAAACAATTAAAACATAAACTCAGTGAAGCTGCAAGTCTGCAATCTAAATCAAAGTGAACAAGTCTGGTAATTTCCTGTAATTTGCACTGCGCGATTTATCATCGGAAGTAAATTAGTCACACATACCAGTGTTCACTTAATGGTGTTTCAAAGTAACAGGAAATTGGATCCTGTGTAATTGGCATTGAAATTATTAACAAACATAAGATTTATTAACAGCAAACAAGTGTCACATGTCACATATAACAACTTCAGTCAAAATCATTGTGAAATATACAGTCAGAAACTGAGACAGGTGGGTTGTAGATTACTATCGGACCGCTGGCTTAATCTGCCGGATTTGTCAGAGGGTCAGACGCTATTTGTGAACACTGCACATACCATCGATGCATCGATAGTTTTTCGTTTCTACCATTGATTAATTGCTATCGGAGACTCAACAATTGCAATGCATCGATACAGCCCTACTATGCAGTTGGGATACGATGATGACATGTGTCAAGCAAGTCAGCGAGCCTCACACACACGCACGCAGAGAGCATTTAGGGTCAGACGGCATGCACATGTTCAATACTGACTTGCCTCAAAATAGTCTACTTTTTGTGTTAAATTCGGTATAGATGTTTCTTTGGATTTGCATTTAGTCTTACACTGCACTTAGCAATATTCCAGCTATATGGTTTTGTACAGTAACAGATGTCTTACAACAAGAACAAGGACACCTCTAGATACATGCAATTCATATGAAATCATGAGATTGTGTAACCATCAATAAATGATTATTAAAATGAAAGATGATCTCCACGTGTTCAAGATTTATTGCAGTATGTCTCTGTCTCTCTGACCTAGCCTAGACTTATGTCAGTTTTATTCTAGCCAGGGTTTTATCTTGCCCTACAAAACTAGGTTATCCCTAATTTCTTACAAAAAAAAAATGTGAGATCATGGCAGTAATGAAATAGTGTAACGTACTGTACTTTTAATATGTTCTAATCATATTAATAACAAGACCTTTATGTTCCTTGTTGAGATTTTAGACAATATATCTATATCTCCTCCTGGTTTATAGTTGTCTGTGTACTGGATGCACATTTCTGCTTCATGCAAACCCTGGCCAGCCTTCTGAAACACGGCAGTTGAACATGGATGCCCCAATCAGACAAAGTATGCAGACTCTGAGCCAACCAGTCCTTGTTCTATCCCTCCAGTATCAAGGCCTGAACTGGGTAACAAGTACTATCTATTTAGGTCATTTGATATAAGGCACCTGAGGAGCTTAACCACGAACCTTTCGTTCTCCGGCAGACATTCTATCCACCAGACCATGGACACAGCCAGGGAATCAGCTTACTTAGTTTACAGTAACCATGGTAACGGGAAGAAAAGAGTGAGTGAGTATGGTTTAACGCCGCTTTTAGCAATATTCCAGCAATATCAAGGCAGGGACACCAGAAATGGGCTTCAGATATTGTACCCATGTGGGGAATCGAACCTGGGTCTTCGGCATGACGAGTGAACGCTTTAACCACTAGGCTATCCCACCACCCCGGAAGAACAGAGGCACCATTACACTCTAGGTATATATTGAGTGAACTAAAATTAACATATTTAATAACACAATTAGGCCAGACCAATTTTATTTCTTGTTTTACTGATTTTTGTCTTCAAAAAACCTAAAGGCAGGAGGGAAAGAAATAAAAATAAAACCACCAGTCAAATTAATATTCCTTCTAAATACATAAAGTATTTTACTTTTAGCAATTTATGAAGTGTATATGGGGCAAAAAACAATCTAAAAACAATTTTTTGTAAGTTTACATTTTGGGCCAATACAAACATTAGGACATTATTTTTTGAGCGGGGAAAATTAATAATTTTTTTCTTTTCTTATTCTTGAAAAAATAACGTCCGAAGAACAAGAAATAAAATTGGTCTGGCCTTTCCATAAAAGAAAAGATTGGGCTTTATAAAAATTGCAAATGGCTTTCATATTAATCAATAATCTGCTATATACAATGGTAGCTATGGAAACATCACTACAAACACAAGAAAAGGTCGATTATAAAACTGTGATTCGTAAGTTGCCATGGTTACATATCAAAACAAGCATTGTCACTAAGGTGACATAATCCCCCACCGCAAATTATGAAATCAAACTTAAAAAGTAATGAAAGTGAAGATCGTAATTTAAGATGAAAGTTAAATGTCAACAAAAACATGACCAGTCAACCTCTCGTGATATCTTGTTCTGTAGTTGTTCAAACGCACAAATATTTTCAAGACTGACTTTGACCTTGACATGAATGTCTTAGTGTATGAAATATGCAAAAATAGTAATACAGTAATTGCTTATTGAAAAACATTCAAGGGAAATCTTGAAAGTCTATGGAGAAAGTCCAGTGAACTGTTCTTGAGATATCTCGCTGACAATCTTTACATGCAGGTTAACATGCTGAAATCTTCAAAGTGTCGTTGTGACCTTGAAAATTAAGTGAAGGTCACCAAATTCGACTGGGGCCCTGCGCCTTCCCTAGGTAAAGCTTGGTGGTGAATATGAAGAAAATCCAGTAAAACGGTTCTTGAGATATCTCGCTGACAAGGGTAAAACGTTAAAGTCCCCTTGTGACCTTGAAATGAAGGTCAAGGTCACCAAACTTGACTGGGACCTTTCTTATACTGTGATGAACCTAGGTACCAAGTATGAAAAGAATCTAATTAATGGTTCTTAAGATATTCCAATTCGTACGTACGTACGGACAGAGCCTAATACTATATCCCCCGCTTCGCACTAAACGCGCGGCGGGGGATAATGATTCAGTGTTTAATAATACAGACTGTTATTTCAAAACCTGTCTGTGACTGTCACATACATTGTCTGTGTACAGTGGGTTGTTCTCTTAACACAATCGAATATCATAATAGTAAAACTCATGATACTATCAGTGTAGTATATCAGCAGTGTAGTATATATCAGGTATATCATGTATATTCTAATGTTGAGCACTGGTAAATGTGATACTGTAATTTATACAGCATTACCAGATTACGTCAAGTCTAAACCATGTACACAGGGACATGCCTTACACGGACTACATCTAGCAGAACATCCGACATATCCCAAAACACACAACATTTCTGATAACATCTGTCACATAAACAGTTATAACTTCAAACAATAAACAAAATCAATACAAGTGAAAGCAATATATACGCTACACAATATGACTACACAAAGCTTCACGTACAATAACAGTTCAGCTGAGTCGACAAAAGAGACATAAAAACCAGTGTGAGAGCCACAGCTACTATACAGAGAACAGAATCATCATGTTGTCATTCCATCAGGGTTCAACTTCCATGAATTTATCTTGCCGATATGTTTCAAACTACTGGGGTAAAAGAAATAAAACAAATAGAAAATTGACAGAAAAACAGCTGTTTGATTGCCCTGAGGTGATCCTGAGCTGTATCACATGTCATTCACTCACTAACAGTAACAATGAACAGCATTTCTATTTT